TGGGTACAAAGTTAGAGTTAGGAGGAATAAGTTCTCTATACCATAGAAGTGTGATTACTTAACACCAACATATTGTATATTTCATAATAACTAGAAGAGAGGATTTTGAAACTTCTCACCACAAAGAAATGACAAATGATGGATGTGTTAATTTCCCTGATTTGTTCATTATATAACACTTATGGGAAAGAAAATGTCACATTGCACCATCCCCCAAAAAAGATCACTCTGAAATACCATTAGTAAAAATGCTGCAATTGCTACAGTGTTGAGTCCAGAACTGGCTCTCAGGATAAAAGAGACAGCATCATATATTTCAGAAAATCAATGAAAAGGTTATAGTCAATTCATTCATCAATATCTTTGGTGGATAAAATAGTTTATTCATATGATGATTATATCTGTGATGCTCATTAACTTAGACATAAAGTTGGTTTCCTGGGGAGCACCCAGGAGGGGCTTAAGTGTTAAATTCTTAAGTGTTCCAGGAATTATCAAGTGACTTTAAAATGGCTTTTTAACCACGATTTGTTTTTAAAGATTGCAATTGAATGTTAACCATTGTAAAGTTCCAAACACATTAATACCAAATCACTCCACACCCTCCCCACAAAAATGAATGAAGAACATGTAATAAAAATACTGTACTGAGAAAGAATTTTCTGTACTGACTTTCATTGGGTTTTAGGGAAAGTTATCACCAAAAGCCAGTTTACCATATTTTCTATAATTTAACTAATAACAATAGTAATCATACTGTATGACCTACATGGAATAGAAATTTATAAAGAATTCATTTGACTTTGACTCAGTCATTGAAGTGGTGGTTTCCTATGTTAGAAATGTGTTCATTCACTGGTAACTAAGAGGACATTTCATCATTTTCCACAATGTCCTTGAATCTTGCCATAACTCCTTTCTAAGGATATTACTAAGTCACAAACTAAACCTTATGAGATGAATTTAAGAAGCACAAAAGGGAGTTGTAGTACTACCTCCCAGACTGGAAGACCATGAGTATAACATTATAGCCTATTAATTGTGTTCATTTAGCTAATTAAATTCAGACTCTGCTTTAGTCTAGTTGTATTGTGAAATAGGCACAAAAGCTTCTCCTGATTCAAGCCTTTTTTTCCCACTGAGTGTATGTGCTTAGAATAGCAGCTGTGACACATAATAATTACTCAATAAAAATGAGCTATTATTGTTATTGTCATTTGCTATTATAATAACTACTGATTATTTTGGCATATTCTATATAAATACCCAGGATTTTGTGTTCAAAAAAGTCATAAGCAATATTGAGTTGATGTTAATTATAATATAGATGATATCTGGCAAATAAACTATGTAACTTTTACCCCAAAATATATCAAAATATCTTCACCTGTATATCTAATAACTTTTTTGAAATAGGAGATGTATCTTTTATTCTGTAACATCTGTGTGTATTTTAAGTACT